TTATATTCGTTCCCTCACTTATAGATATGTATTTTTTATATTCGTCCCCTCACTTATAGATATGTATTTTTTATATTCGTTCCCTCACTTATAGATATGTATTTTTTATATTCGTTCCCTCACTTATAGATATGTATTTTTTATATTCGTTCCCTCACTTATGGATATGTATTTTTTATATTCGTTCCCTCACTTATAAATATGTATTTTTCATATTTGTTCCCTTATTTATAGATATATTCATCTTGCAAAACTGTGTTAATATGTTTTTTTTTACTCTTTCTTGTTAGTGGGCCATGGTCGAAGTGAAGGTCCCCGTACCCTGGTGGGCAGTCTTGACAATTGCGTTGAAGATATATTTCATCACATAAATATAATGAAAAAGAAATATCCTGGACTTCCAGTGTTCATAATCGGAAACTCAATGGTAGGAAGAAAATGTTTAATAAAAAATTTGTCCTCAATAAATATATTTTTTATGGATAGCAAATAGATTAGATGTTATTAAAAAAATGAAGTTGTTGTATTTGTTGTTGTTTGTAACAACAGATTGCTCGAATATTTAAAAATATATATATCCTGTATGCATTCCTGTAAAACACTTCCTCTTTTGTTTCCTTTAACTTCCTCTTTTGTTTCCTATAACTTCCTCTTTTGTTTTCTTTAATATCATAGGGCGCAACAATCGGCATATTTGCCTCCCTGAAGAAACCAGAAGAATTCAAAGGTTTTGTAGCTATAGCAACAAGTATTCCGAGAAACTCTGAGGAATCCACGACATTTAAAATTCTTATGGTAATTAAGACTCAGTAGCATTGAGACTTTAGTAGTGTGATAACTAGAGTTTACTACCTTAACGACACCTTGTGCAACAAATGAATTAGAGACAAGGGTTAGGTATAGTTATCCCTAATTTAAAACTGCTGATCAGAACTGAAAACAACCAGTCAGCAGGACCTGCCGCCTATTGTGCGACTACTCTTAATCAAGTATCGGGATTGATTGTTACGAGCATAACGCCCCGGCATGTCGCGGCTTGAATCTTGGATCTTTCGAGTGGTAGCCTAGCATACTAATAACTAAGATACGCTCAACACTTTTATCAGTAATGCTTGAAACGCCAAGTTGTGTTAATCAATGATCAAAACGACTTAGGACTTGGTATCATCAATGATTTTAATATAAATTAAAAGAATTATTTAAATAATTTGACTCCCCCCCACTTCAGAATTGACGTTTAATGACAAATATGGGTAGTTTAATCCATTTTAAATACAGAGAGTTTTGTGTGTATATATTATGTAGGTAGTACTCATTCTGGTGGATCCTTTTAGGCTTGGGAACAATTGCTTGAAAATTATACTAACGGAAACTCAATGAGTTTACTGTATTTATAATTATAATTATTTATAATTATTTGCAATTATTATTAATCGATGATAATTCAAAATATTTTGGTTTTATTTGTACTCATAAAATGCCAAAATTAACTGCTTCAGCGTCAGGATCGAATACAATAAACTTTAGATGAAGGAACTAAAACACGCTATCAGATAAACTCTCTATTAGGATATCTTAATAACTTTTCTCGTATTTTTGTTGTTGTTGTTTTTTTGTATCTGTGCATCTGTTGTTTGTCCTTTTGTGTGTGTGTTTGTGTTCACGTTAGCTTTTAAAGGAAGTAAGTTAGGCTAAATAAAATCACCGAAATCACAATAAATTAGTATACGAAAACAAGTTACAACCAGTTCTTTTTTTCTTTTTTGATCGCGGAAAGATATGTTGCCGTGATTAACGTTAAAGACAAAATCACGCGACTGTTATCAGAATTTTGTTTGGTCACAAGTTAGTCTCCCAGACGATAAATTGTAATAAAACGAATCAATTATTTAGTTAAAGAAAACGTTAAACTATCCCCCACATAATTGTTTAGTAAACTACCCCCCACATAATTGTTTAGTAAACTACCCCCACATAATTGTTTAGTAAACTACCCCCCACATAATTGTTTAGTAAACTACCCCCCACATAATTGTTTAGTAAACTACCCCCCACATAATTGTTTAGTAAACTACCCCCCACATAATTGTTTAGTATATCGTATATAACTTCTACCCCCCACATAATTGTTTAGTATATCGTATATAACTTCTACCCCCACATAATTGTTTAGTATATCGTATATAACTTCTACCCCCCACATAATTGTTTAGTATATCGTATATAACTTCTACCCCCCACATAATTGTTTAGTATATCGTATATAACTTCTACCCCCCACATAATTGTTTAGTATATCGTATATAACTTCTACCCCCCCAATAATTGTTTAGTATATCGTATATAACTTCTACCCCCCACATAATTGTTTAGTATATCGTATATAACTTCTACCCCCCTACATAATTGTTTAGTATATCGTATATAACTTCTACCCCCCTACATAATTGTTTAGTATATCGTATATAACTTCTACCCCCCACATAATTGTTTAGTATATCGTATATAACTGTCTCGTTACCGTACA